CTCTGAGAAAATTTACTATAAAAAGGGTTATGACCTGCCAATATATAAAAAATCAAGTGAACTAAATTTAAGGTCTCATGTCTGAACAGAACTATGCTATGTCAGAGCGTCTGAGAGTCTATTTGAGCACTAATCTGATCTTTTTCTCTATTTGTGTTTTATTCACAATTTCAAGATAAACACAAAAATAAGAATTTTAGATTTATAAAGGTTACAGTTGTTAATACAGTCTTATACCCTGAGACTATATATGATTTTAGTGAATATAATCACCAGAAAAGTCATTTCAAGAGCTGTTAGGTAACAGAGTAAAAGGAAATATAGGCACAAGTAAACAAACCCCTGTCTGAGAAGTCCACACCAAGGAACAGACCCCAAACAGAATGTGGATTTCAGGGACAAGATTAAAACTACTAAAATGATTCAGAGGAAGCATTAGGGCATTAGGCAAGAACCAACACAAAAAGTCAAATAGGATCTTACTTATATAATTAAAAGAAGGGTACCTGGATGAAAAGTAAACATGCCAAATAGATAATTGGCAAAATTAAGCAATATGGTCAGACAGGGATAGACCAACAGCAAAGATGAGTGTACAACAGTGAATAATAAGAATATATAAAAATGTTGTTCTTATTAACCAACTGGAAAATATGACAACAAAAAGAAGACATCATTCATGACAGCAGTAAAAATGAGAAAGCCCTCAGACATAAGTCAAATTTAAAATGTGGAAGATTTTCAAGGAAAAGATTTACAAGCATTTAAAGACATAAAAGGAGAACTGAATATAAAAACATTCTATGGCCATGGATGGAAAAATATCAATCAAACCAAATTAATATAGAAATTAAATGTAATTCCACTCGAAAATCCCTCAAGACTTTTCATGGAACTTGATATCTTATTCTAAAAATCATATGGAGGATTCAAGGAAACAAAAACAATTATAGGAACTTCCATCCCAGATTATCAAACATTCCACAAAATGAAAAGCATACATCTGTTGCAAAAGTAGACAAATAATTCAATAGAATAGCTGGAACAGAGAAGCCAAATACAGAACCATGTATATATAGAACCCTAGTAGAGTAGGTTTATAAGTCAGTTGGAAAAGAAATATAATTATGTTATGATCATTAGATTTCTACACAGAAGGAAAATAAAAACAGAATCCTTCCTCAACGCACTCACAAAAATAAATTCCAGCTAAAGATCTAACTGTTAAAAACTCGAACTTCTAGAAAAGACTCCTCTTTTGGTATGGTGTGCTATATAATTCAGACCATTATCTGCTGTAAAAAAAGAAAACTAAATGAATGGGCAAAATATATTGTAAAATGTGTTTAAGGATTAAGAAAGATATAAAAAGCAGTCTCTTTTGTCTGGAGTCAAGAGGTAATAAAAGAAGAAAACCAAAGAGGTTAAGCTAGCAATGAGGGCCACTTTTCTCAAGAGCTATCTAAATTATGGATTAGAGCTCAAGAGGCTAGGAAACAAAGCAAGCTTTTTGAAGGACTTATTTAAGAGGGGAGAGGGGAGGGAGAGAGAGAATAAACACTGAGAAATCAAAACCTACAAAGAAGTTGGAAAGCCCAAGAACATTAAAGGACTATGCCCAGACATAATGAAAATCAAAGCTCAGATTCAAATTTTTCTAATCCTGACTGGATTAAGGTGATCCAGGACTGCTAATTCTAACCACCAGGAAGCAAACAAAACCTTTTTTGGAAGAAGATTTCATTATTCAAAAATTCAAATAATCTATACTACTTTTTATATGTCTATCACTCTTTTTTAAAGAGCACAGATGAAAACCAAGAGAAACAAGAAGTAGAAACAGACCCACAAGGGATTGAAATAATAAAGTTATCAGATAAAATTAAATAATTATGATGTTCTGTGAAATAAGGGATAAAATTTTACATTTCTGCAAGAAGCTGGAGAATTTTTAAAAGACTCAAACTAAAATTCTGGAGTTTAAAATTTCAATATCTAAAATTGAAAAAGCAATGGATGATTTTAAAGCCTATTAGACATAGACAAAGAGAACTAGCATACTGAAAGACATATCAGAAGAAAATAGCCAGAAACTTGCAGGGGAAGAAAAAAGAAAATACAAAAATAAATATAGAAGAAGGGGGGGGAACTAAACTAAAATATATGCCTTTGGAATCCCAGAAGAGAGATGGAGATACAAGCATTAAAGTAAAAATAAATGAGTTTTCCAAAACCAACGACAAATACCAAGTCACAGAAACAAAATGCAATAGAACCCAACAAGGGATAAATGTCAACAAAACTAGGACTAAACATATGAAAGTAAAGCTTCTAAAACACAATGGTAAAAATCTTATAAAGCAACTAGAGGGCGGGGGGAGAGTATGTTCAAAGAAGCAACAGCAAAATGTATCAGCAGAGACAATGGAAGCTAAATAATTATGAGATGGTATCTTCAAATGCTTAGAGAAACTGCTAGTCTAAAATTTTTCACCCAGTAAACAAACGGTTCAAAAATGAAGTGAAACAGATTTATGCTGTCCCCCCAAAAAAGATACCTTGTCACCATTTACCCATATAAAAGTAAATATGAATAGATAATCTTCAGGCAACTGAGAAATGCAGAAAGAAATAAACAGCAATAAAAAGCTAAGTACATGGATAAACACAAATTATGACAATATAAAATACCAAAAATTATTTGTGCTTTTTAAAATGTACACACAACTAAAAGAAATAACAAAGCATATAACAAAAGCAAAAGAGCATATAAGCCTTAGTTTAAAAAAAGTTGGCATATTCTTGGGAAAAGATAGTTTCATGACCATAAAAAACAACTACTCAAGTGAATTTTATACCTATTTAATAGATTAATAACTACCATGTCACAGGTTACATTTCTAAAAGATACCCAAACAGTAACAGATATGCTTCTGAAACGCAAGACAATCAAGATTATCACTACAGTGAATAATTCCATAAAATGATCAAATATTTACAATGTCTGGGCATTTGGGGAAAAAAACGAGATGATACAAATCCTATATTGGTAACCTCAACAATAACAGTAGTCTTCTTAGATAATCAATGAAGGTAAATATCCTCATTTTAGAAAAGAATAAAACTAATGTTCTTGAGATCTGATAGGAGTTGTCTGTCATCAAGACAACACACAAACAATAATAAACCTATAGCTCTTGATCAATCTCTTGTGTAGCTCTGGGTGTTTTTCCACATATAAAAATTAGACTGTTACCATGATACCCCAGAATTAAGATAACCATTCTATGAGAATAACAATTATACTATTCCAAATGTATTACTTATCAAAATGTTCAGTGCACTCTGTCTTCTAACAAAGAATATGAAGAGGTAAAATATTTTTCTGTGGTAATGATCATAATGATCATACCTATTTTTAAGAACTACGGTATACCTTCACAGTTTGTTAATTATTGGCAACAAGAAATAAATGTGTTGGATCAAATACTTTCTATGTACTCAAATTGGTAACATTAACATTTAAAATCATGAAAACATAGATGTTTAAAATTTTTTTATTTCATTCACTTTTTTTAAATATTTATTTTTTAGCTGTAGTTAGACACAATACTTTTATTTTATTTATTTATTTTTATGTCATGCTGAGGATCAAACCAGGGCCTCACATGTGCTAGGCAAGCGCTCTACCACTGAGCCACAACCCCAGCCCTATTTCATTCACTTTTACTTCATACTCTTACTTGATAATTTTAAATACCAAATACACTGACTTTATCCCTGAAATTATTTTAAAACACTTCTCTAACTAGAGTATTTTTTTTCAATTTTGTTCTGCTACAAAAGAATCATCTGATTTACATAAATGCTAGTTAATCACCATAGAAATTCTAAAATATATAATTAGAATGTCACAGATCACTTAATCCATTCTGTCAAAACAAGGATTATTTTAACTTGTGTTTTACTTCCTTTAAAATAAATCTTATTTACTTTATTTTCTCTAACAGACAAAAACATTAGTAGGATAAGTTTACTATGTATTCCCCCAATCAAACTTTAAAATGATTCTGGTTAACCACAAATTGACTTAAGTAGTTAAGTATTTTTTCCTGAATATATTTTACTGAAATATGTCTAACAATGTAATAATGTAAAAAAAAAAAATAGTAATTGAATTACTGTTCAACAGAATTACAAATTATTTCACTTATTCTTCTTAGCCAATCATAGATAAAATGATAGCTTTGGATCTTAGAAATTGTCCAAAGAGGGCTGGGGTCATGGCTGAGTAGTACAGTGCTTGCCTGGCACGCGGGAAGCACTGGGTTAGATTCTCAGCACCACATAAAAATAAATAAAGTATACAATTTGATGTTTTACAAAAAGAAAAGAAAACAAAAATTGTCCAAATAAACTGATGCATTCTAGCCTCAAGTAACCAATTTTGTAAACAGCTCTTCTATTTAGGATTAAACATAACCATAAAAGCTTTTATTCAGTAACACACTTCACTAAATTGACTTCACAAAAATAAAAACAAATATAAATTACCTAACTCTAGCACTTTCAGACATCTAGACAATATTTGGAAAAATAAATAGAAATTTTTATTTCAATTATTTTTAAAAATTCAGAACTATATTATTTCTTTAACCATGAATATTATGAAACTTAAATAATTCAAGCCATGATTTATGGAACTCACAATAAAAAAATACACAAATACACTGATTCCAAATTAAGAAGAAAAGTACCATAGAAGTTACTCAGTGATTTGTCAAAAATTATTGTAATAAATAAGTAATCATGCAATCTTAACTCTGCCATTGAAAGGTATGTGTCTGGTTCTCACACCGCCTACTAGATGCCTTTCCACTGCTTAAAAGCTTCCCCCCTATACACACTAATATTTTCTTTGTAACAAAATATCACCTGGTTAGATTCTAAAATAGGAATCTTTAGAAATGAGATTAGCCAAACAATTTTTAAATACTTACTGTCTTGTTTCGTAATCTAATTATGTCTGAGACAGAGCCAGCTCCACAGTACTCCATAACAATCCACAGGTCTGTGTTCTTAAAGTAACTGCCATAGTACTTTACAACATACGGGCTAAAGAAAAGTACAATTAAATTTAATTAATTCACAAAGAAAAATTTTTCTTAATCCCAATACAAGTATTTTCAACATTTCATAATGTTCCAATAAGTAAACTTAGTAAGTAAACTTCTATTGTACACAGAATTGTCTATATCTAGAGTTCATCAACTGTGTATTATTAATTTTAATTCATGGATGAAATTTAACAGGATTACAAACTAGAGGAGGCCCAAATGTTTTGATTCCCAAGGAAAATAATGCATCATTTTGGCAAAGGATTTACTATTTAACATAAAGAACAAATGAAAATATTTTTCTTTAACTAAAACATTTTAAATATAAATCTTCTAAAGAATTTTGCAATGCAGTCAAATATTAACACTCTAAAGTACTCTATATTTAATGAAGCCAAACTTTTGAATTTTTTTCTTTCAAAAATTTTGGCTTGGGCTGGGGATGTGGCTCAACTGGTAGCGTGCTCGCCTGGCATGCATGTGGCCTGGGTTCGATCCTCAGCACCGCATACAAATAAAGATGTGTCTGCCGAAAATTAAAAAAAAATAAATAAATATTAAAAATTTTTTTAAAAATTTGGCCTTCAAAAATTCTGGAAAAAAATTTTTTTGCTTAAGTTAATTAAAATTATTGACAAATTTAAAGTATTTCTGAACTAAGATCTGTAAGTCTTTCAGTGCAAAAGAGACTGTCAAGTTGTTTTCTGAAATACTTAGAAAGGGATCATCATCACTAATACTTTTAAGTATGTACTACATAAACTCATAATGTAAGGGTCAGGGTTGTGGCTCGGTGGTAGAGTCCATGGTGTGAGGCACTGAGTTCAATCCCCAGCACCACATACAAATAAACAAATAAAATAAAGGTTAAAAATTTTTTTTAAAAAACACATAAAACATGTTAGCCAACTCAAAGAGGCAGAATATCCATAATCACAGAATATATAAATAAGGAAAAAAATAAAAAGTGTTTAAGGAGAAAATGACCATGGTGGAGCAATCAGAAAGAAATTTGTAGAAGGGATTCTATTTGAATGGGATTATGAAAAAAAAAAGTTAAAATCTCCAAAATATGGACAGAGAAGATAAATAAGAATATTCTAGAAAAGGGAAAGAACATGAGCAAAGAGACAAATAGAAAGGAAAAATCAAATATGGCATGTTTAGAGTATAACATTCAATACATACTTCTATCTGGTAATAGCTACTATAAAACTGATAGCTACTTAACTAGGCATCACTGTTAGTAATAAGATACAAGAACCAAATAATCAAAAAAATTACAATAATAAAAGAATACACAGGTTCTGGGGTTACAGATCAGTGGAAGTGCATTTGCCTTGCACTTGTGAGGCACTGGGTTCAATCGTTGGTACCACATAAAAATAAATCAATAAAATAAAGGTATTGTGTCCATCTACAACTAAAAAAATATTTAAAAAAGAATACACAAATATACCAAATAATCAATAAAATATACCAAATAATCAAAAAAATTACAATAATAAAAGAATACACAGGTTCTGGGGTTACAGATCAGTGGAAGTGCATTTGCCTTGCACTTGTGAGGCACTGGGTTCAATCGTTGGTACCACATAAAAATAAATCAATAAAATAAAGGTATTGTGTCCATCTACAACTAAAAAAATATTTAAAAAAGAATACACAAATATACCATATCAAAAGAGATAAAGGGAAGACTTCTCAGTAGAACCTGTTATGATTTTAGCTAAGTCTTAAGGTCAAAGGTTTTCAGGTTGGTTGGAGCTTAAGGGCCTGAATTAGAGTGGCTACAGGGCTAGAATTCAATCATGTCTTATCTCTATTGTTCCTCATTACCTCTTACACAGACTAGCTTTCCACTGTCAGTTTTCTCCCATTCTAATCTACACTTCTCACAACTGCCAAGATTACCTTTCTTTAAAACAAAACTAAACTGATCATATATGCTTTCCTGATTTAAAAAACTCTTAACGGCTCTTCATTATCCAAAGCAGAAAGGCATAGTTACTTCATTTCATATCTAATATTTCAAAGTCTACCTCTTAACCCATATCTCTCATTACTCCCTGTCTTATGTTGAAAGTTTCCAGACATACTCAATTGTGCTAGGTGTTGGGAATGGAAAGTATGTATTATGAGTTCATGCCAGGCAAGGAGCTAAGGCAGGAGGATAACAAGTTCAAGGTCAGCCTCAGCAAGTTAGGGAGACTTTCAGCAACTTAGTGAGACCCTATCTCAAAATAAAAAATAAAAAGGATTGGGAATGTAACTCAATGATGAATTGCTTCAGGTTAAATCCTGAATACAAAAAAAAAAAAAGGAGTTTAGGGCTGGGGATATGGCTCAAGTGGTAGCGTGCTCGCCTAGCATGCATGAGGCACTGGGTTTGATACTCAGCACCACATAAAAATAAAATAAAGGTATTGTGGCCACCTAAAACTAAAAAATAAATATTTTTTAAAAGGGAGTTTAAAAACATTCACTTGAACCATTTAACAAAAATACTTGTTTACACACAAATAAACATATAGACTCATAGCATACAGAAAGTCAAAGCACAGGAATCTTGTGTGCTTTCTTTGCATACTCTTCTTCAAGGTATGAGTGCCTACAGAGAAACTTATTACAGGGAATAGTGTTCTTATTGACTATAAATTAGAACTACTTGTGAATCAGGTCCCATACCTAAGAGATTCGACTCAGTAGGTCTTTTCAAACCTCTGCAGGTGACTCAGATATGTACCTAGAGTACAGCTTTACTTCAAAAGAAAAGACAACGTATTCTTCAAGGAAAAAACTCTTCAAATATTAATCTTTCTCATTCAGAATTTTGAAAGGTGTTAATAGTGAAATCAAGATTGTATCCACTGAAAAGCACATAAAGATATGTATTTTATCTTGCCATAAACACAAGGTAGTCAACAATGATAAGAGTAAAACTGAAAGCTGTTATGAAAATTAGGGATTCTAACCTGAGCAGTTACCTGAAAAAAGAGCTCCCTATCTCCCCTTAGAATTAAATAAAAAGAACATTTTAGGAAAAGATAAAAGTATCTTCAAAAAAAATAATTTGTGGCCCATACTAATAAACAATCAGGTAGATAAATCAAGTTTCAACTACTCTATATCATAAAATAATTTTAACCCAGAAAAAGCATATAAGCAAGTAGAACTAAACAGTCATATCAAGAACACAAACCTTAATATACTTTCTATCATTCCCTCAACATTCACTCTGTTCTTAGACCAGGCATTATACCAGATAGCTGGTATGTACAGGTGAACCAGACATAATTCTGACCCTTACACAGAATACACCAGCATGAAATACAGTATTAGCAAAGCAATCCATAAATGAATAAAAATTATTAACCATGGTAAGAACAGTAGGAGAGATGCTATGAAAATAACTGGCTATGACTTTATTTTGCATTCACCATTTCTGCAAATAAAATTGTTCCAGTTTATACAAAGGAATGCAATATATTCATTTTAAATGGTAGACCCTGACTTGCAAAGCACTCAAGTATATGAATAAACTTTGAAAGTAGATATGGATAGGCTATAACAATAAAATGTTCTCCCATCCATTGAGATTTTGTGAATTCCAAAATCCACAGATTAGGTAAAGAAGAAAATGCTTGAACCCTAGACTTCACAAAAAAATCTATAGTATTACTTATTGGTCATCATCTGATATTTTCTACATCAACATCCTTTTTATTTTAAAGCATTTACTATATCTTGCAATTACTTTCCCCAGAAAAATAAGATGTTCCACAACATCTTAGGTGACAGTATTCTTGCAATCCATTTTAACTTCAATACCTTCCTTTTCATATGTACAAACTAAAGAAGCAATGAATAAATTAACAAAGAAATTATCAAAAAATTAACAGATGGGACCTTACTGAATCCTTCTCCATAGAATGATATTTAAGCTAGGATACAATGGTTGACTAAAAGTTGTCAGAGCATGTAAGCGCCAAGACATGCCTATGCAAAATGTCTAAAAAAGAACAAAACACATTTGAAAACTTGAAAGGAGATCAATATGCATAGATAAAGTCAGTGCACAATAAAGTAGAACATAATGGCATAAAGTTGATGCAGGCAGATGCCAGATCATGAAAGGTCTCAAAACCAAGGTATGGCTGAGCTTTGTTCTACAATAGTAAACTGAAGAAATTTAAGCAAAAGCATAACATAATCTAATTTTCACCTTTAAGAGTTCTTTAGCTTCTGGGCAAGTTAGATATTTTAATTCTTTGAAACTTGGGACCTTGATGAAACTGGAGGAACTGCCCCCTTCAGGATTAGCTAATTCCTAAAATTAACAAAGGAATTGACTATGAGCATGCCCCTCGTGTGAAAAACTAATCATTCTATCTATAGCCTATACATCCAACTCTCATAATTTCACACCAGATTCACTATTGCCCTGCCCTAATCACCCCAGGGATAGTACCAAAAGACTAGGGAGAGCAACCTAGGCCACAGAGTTCAATAAAATTATTCCAACTAGCCAATCTTTTGTGAACACTGTTGAATCCTGTCTCTCCTATTCTTTCCCAGAGAGACCCCAATAAAAACTCTAGCCCATGTTCTCCCTTCACTTGCTCTGTCTCGTGACAGACAGATATGTTTCACTGTATTGCCCCTAGTGACATGGCTGCTTCCTTTTTTGGGATCTATGCCTCTAACAATATATCTTTATTTTTGTTATTACTATATCTTTTTAACTTTTTTCCCATGGCAATCATCTATTAATCTGTTAGTCTTTTCATAATTAAATAACAATAACACATTTGGGGAGAGGGGAGGGTACTACGAGACTGAACCCAGAAAGGCTCTATCACTGAGCTCTATCACTATCAACCCTTTTTATTGTTTTATTTTGAAAGTGGGTCTTGCTAAATTGACAAGGTTGGGCTCAAACTTTATGATCCTCCTGCCTCAGGCTCCCAAGTCACTGACTAGGATTACTGTCACGTA